TTGATATTTGTTATGCTGATGTGTGTAATGTTGATGTGTGTAATGTTGATGTGTGTAATGTTGATGTGTGTAATGTTGATGTGTGTAATGTTGATGTGTGTAATGTTGATGTGTGTAATGTTGAAGTGTGTAATGTTGATGTGTTTAATGTTGATGTGTGTAATGTTGATGCGTGTAATGTTGATGCGTGTAATATTGATGTGTGTAATGTTGGTGTGTGTAATGTTGATGTGTGTAATGTTGAAGTGTGTAATGTTGATGCGTGTAATGTTGATGTGTGTAATGTTGAAGTGTGTAATGTTGATCCGTGTAATGTTGATGTGTGTAATGTTGAAGTGTGTAATGTTGATGTGTGTAATGTTGATCTGTGTAATGTTGATGTGTGTAATGTTGATGTGTATAATGTTGATGTGTGTAATGTTGATGTGTGTGATGGTGGCGTTTTAATGATTTATCTGCGTCAGTCAATACTGAAAGTTGAGGGAAGCAGCATACTATATGTAATGGGTGACTTCAACGGGAGGGTAGGAAATAACAGAAGAGAATACGAACAGTTTGTAGGTCCACATGCAGCTAAGAACAGTGCTAGAAATGGAAATGGTCAAAGAATATTGGATCTATGCAGCCAGCACAATCTTTTTATTACGAACACGTTCTTTGAACATAGAGATTCACAACTTTACACTTGGTACAAATGGAATGATGTCTCCATCAAGAGCCAGATTGACTTTATACTTACCAGAGTTCAAGGAAGAAGGAGAATTCTTGATTCAAGAGCAATCCCTATTGGTCTATGTGACACTGACCATAAAATAGTTGTGTTAACAGCAAAACATCTTACATTAAAGAAACAAAGAAAGAAATTTAACAAAAACAATTATCTCATCAAGATAGCAAATCTGAAACAGGAAGGAGTAAAAGAACAGTTACAACAGAAAGTAGAGACAGCATTCAAACAACTTCCACATGTAGTTGGCAATATTGAGAAAGAATGGAGTATATATAAAAACACTATGCTTAGTATTGCATAAGAATTATGTGGAAAACGGAAGAGTGGAAACAGACGGGAAAATAACAAATATTCACCTCGGTGGTGCGAAGAAGTAAAAGAAGCAATTAAAAAGAAAAAAAGACTTATATAAACTGTGGATAAAATCAAAGAAAGAAGAAGATTATATAAACTATAGACTGCAAAGGAGAGAAACCAACAGGAGTGTCAAGAAAGCAAAACAAGCATCCTGGGAACGTTTCGGTGAGTCACTAGTAGAAAATGAGAAACAGCCAGCAGAAAATTTTTCAAAGTAGTTAAAAATATGCGGAAAAAAGATGAGAGCTACAACCCCACTGAAATAATAAATGATAAGTCAGGAAGGCCATTGATAGATCCACCCGAGATAGCAGAAAGATGGAGGGAATACTTCAATGAGCTCTTTAATCCTCTAGGAGATCATCAGGAAAGAACAACTGAAGAGCACAGAGCAGCAGTGTTAGAACCACACATACTAATGGATGAAATAGAAAAAGTCATTAAGCAGTCTCCCAAATATAAAGCACCAGGAGCTGATAGATTACCAACAGAAATAATTCAAGCTGCAGGTGAAAGCAGCATCAGATGGCTTCACAGAATATTCAATGCAGCATGGGTACAACAAACGGCCCCTATTGATTGGCAACATGCAATAGTTATACCATTGTGGAAGAAAAAAGGAAGCAAACGAGAATGCGGTCATTATCGAGGCATCTCTCTTTTAAGCCATGTTGGCAAAATGTATGCCAAGATAATAGAAACAAGACTGAGACCAGTGATAGAACCACAGCTGGCAGAAGAACAGATGGGATTTAGGAGAAATAGAAGCTGCACAGATGCAATCTTCACACTTAAATAGTTAATAGAAAAGAACATTGAATACAATAAGAACTTATTTGTGGCATTCGTAGACCAGGAGAAGGCATTTGACAGAGTCGACAGACAATTATTATGGAAAATAATGGCAAGATATGGAGTAAGCGAACACCTCATCGAAGAGTGCAAAAGTTTATACAGGGATTGTAGAAGTGTAGTTAGAATAAATCAGGGAACATCTCATCCTTTCACAGTGACATCTGGAGTAAGACAGGGGTGTGTCTCATCACCACTGCTGTTTATCACCTACATCGACAGTATATGCAAGAATGCCAAGCCCATGAATGAAGATCGTAGTAAGATCAACGAATTACTCTTTGCAGATGACCAGGCCTTGATAGCAGATACAGCCATGAAATTGCAACAACATCTAACATCCATGAATGAAGAATGTAAAACAAATAATATGAGAATCAACACTGAAAAGACAGAAGTAATGTCAATAGGAAAAAAGAAGACAGATCTAAACATAGCAATAGAATACAAAGGCATTAAACAGGCATTTGAGTTTAAATATCTGGGAACTACATTTACCGAAAATGGGAAACTGGATAAAGAAATTGACATTAGATGCAGTAAAGCAAACCAAGTATTGGGACAGCTAGCCCCCCTCTTACAGCATAAGACAATCCCAATCAGCACAAAGAGACATCTTATTCAAAGCATTTTTATTCCAACTCTGTGCTACCAGTGCCAGACATGGTCACTCAAACAAACCATAAAAGAAAATTAGTAACCACGGAAATGAGATGTCTGAGAAGGGCTGTAGGAGTGACCATAAGAGATAAGATCAGGAATGAGACCATAAGAGAACAAGTCGGCACAGAAACAATTCTGGATTACATACAAAGACAGCAAGTGAAATGATTTGTCCACTTAGAGAGAATGCCTTGTGACACCACCATACCATACAAAGAATACATGGAAAGAGAAGAAGGACGTAGAGCACGGGGTAGACCAAGAACAAGATGGAAGGATAACATCAGAGAAACTCTACAACAGCACGATGTGCCTATGGTCGAGGCAGCCAGAAGAGCTAGAAACAGAACCTTATATCTCCCTCGACACCCACAGCGGTAAAAGAGGAAGTGAAGAAGAAGAAGAAGTCAATACTGTGCAGCCACCCGGCGAAAACTATAGTACAAACATTGAAATATAAAACAGACTGTCACAGAATACAGAGTACATTTATGCGATTTTTATTGTGTTCTTCTTGTCAACAACAACTGGAGTCTGATTTTCACATGTAATCTATCAAAAATGTACGACTACAAAACAAGTTTTCTACTAAACATAAAGATACAAAACACTTATCTACTAAATATAAAGATACAAAACACTTATCTACTAAATATAAAGATACAAAACACTTATCTACTAAATATAAAGATACAAAACACTTATCTACTAAATATAAAGATACAAAACACTTATCTACTAAATAAATATACAGATGCTAAAAAAAAAGGGGAGCCTCCATGGTGTAGCGGCTAGATGCTCGCCTACGGATCTGAAGATTGTGGGTTGAGATCCAAAGGGAGCAAAACTTTTATTTTTAAATGACTTTGACCCAGCTTAAAATGCGCATCAGGTAAAGTCATGGGAAGTAAAGGTGGCCGGCGTAATGTTAGCCATATCATCCACCAACTGCCGATTGATCTATAAAATATAGGTCTAGCCCTATATGCCCGATACACCTGAAAACGTGGACAAGGGAGGTTTATGGTGGGAACACTTCAGGTATGTACGGGTAGAACTAGGTTGTGTGGTCAGTGGACTCTGCCTTGTTGTGATGTGTGAACTCTGCCCTGATGTAATGTGTGAACTCTGCCTTGTTGTGATGTGTGAACTCTGCCTTGTTGTGATGTGTGAACTCTGCCCTGATGTAATGTGTGAACTCTGCCTTGTTGTGATGTGTGAACTTTGCCTTGCTGTGATGTGTGAACTCTGCCTTGCTGTGATGTGTGAACTCTGCCTTGCTGTAATGTGTGAACTCTGCCTTGTTGTGATGTGTGAACTCTGCCTTGATTTGATGTGTGAACTCTGCCTTGATTTGATGTGTGAACTCTGCCTTGTTGCGGTGTGTAAACTCTGCCTTGTTGTGATGTGTGAACTCTGCCTTGATTTGATGTGTGAACTCTGCCTTGATTTGATGTGTGAACTCTGCCTTGCTGTGATGTGTGAACTCTGCCCTGATGTAATGTGCGAACTTAATGTATTTATGTAATCTGTGCATTCAGAGTGTTTATGTAATCTGAGATTGTACATCTTTATATAATTTGTCAATACTGTTGATGAAATCTATAGATTCTATGTGAACTCTTATGTTGATGTGATCTGTGACTTGTTTATTGTTTCTTTATTCAACGGATCAACATCATGGCTCACGGATGTAATTCATGAGTGCTCGGTTCTACTTCTAACACAAGCCTGAATCTAAAGAATCTCAGCGCAGTGCACGAACTCCGCTGCACCGGCGAGGACCCTAGAATACTTTTGGTAAATTTTTAACTACAAATTTTGCCCGGGCAGCGCCGTTAGGCGACTCTTTTTCGATTTCCACATGCCAAGGGATTTTTTTAATATGTTTGCAACAATGCATACGGGCGTCCGGTCTTACTACACAGAGACCAGGGGAAATTACCAGAAGTCCACGTGAAAAACCCAGCCTTCCTCAGTGCCTGAACCCGGGACCTCCAGCACTCAAGGCAGACGTCATGCCTCGGAAACACTCAGCCCCCTGTCCTGTGAACCCTATATAGTGACGTACATTGTGATTTCAAACGTCCAAGGCATTATTATTGCTGACAGTAAGTTTTTGACATTATCTGAGAAGTGAAGATGTTCTATCCACTACCCGAAGATCCAGGAGGAGTATATCTCGTCTTGATGATTTCCTAACTGTATAAAACTGCAAACAGGCCACAGGTTTCTAACAAGAGAACTCATAAAACAGCTGATGAAGATAACACGAATTCAGATAAATGAAGAAAGCTGTAAAACAAGCAGAGATATATTTCTTAGACTAGTCACGCATTTAAAGTTGAAATGAACTGGACACCTCACAACATACAATTTGTACACACACAATTCAGTTCTAATATCTGTCAATAATGCGCCGGTGGACAGAGTCCCGTCTCAACTTTTTGAGGAAGTCCGCAACTGTTATCCTTCTGCTGGGGCTTTTGTCCAGGAGTTTGAGTAAAAGTTCCCTGTGGAGGAAATCAAAAAACAGGAGGTTAGAAAGTGTTTACAGAACGCGTGTTGCTTTGAACAAGTTACAACATTTATACAGAACATATGTCGATGTCAACAAGTTACAACATTTATACAGAACATATGTCGATGTCAACAAGTTACAACATCAACATTGGTGATAGAAACTTCTCCAAATGATACACATGTGATATCTAGGAAACTTCACCAAATGATATACACGTGATATCTGGAAACTTCACCGTGATACACATGTGATATCTAGAAACGTCACCGTGATACACATGTGATATCTAGAAACTTCACCGTGATACACATGTGATATCTAGAAACTTCACCAAGTGGTAGACATGTGATATCTGGAAACTTCACCAAGTGGTAGTATGTGATATCTGGAAACTTCACCAAGTGATACACATGTGATATCTAGAAACTTCACCGTGATACACATGTGATATCTGGAAACTTCACTAAGTGATTGACATGTGATATCTGGAAACTTCACCAAGTGATACACACGTGATATCTGGAAACTTCACCAAGTGATAGACATGTGATATCTGGAAACTTCACCAAGTGATATACATGTGATGTCTGCAATCTTCACCAAGTGATACACATGTGATATCTGGAAACTTCACCAAGTGGAACAGATGTAATATCTGGAAACTTCACCAAGTGATACACATGTGATATCTGGAAACTTCACCAAGTGATACAGATGTGATATTTGGAAACTTCACCAAGTGATATACATGTGAGACATGGAAAATTTACTATATGATACACATGTGATATCTGGAAACTTCACTAAGTGATTTACATAGGATATCTGGAAACTTCACCAAGTGATACACATGTGATATCTTGAAACTTTACTATGTGATACACACGTGAGACCTGGAAACTTCACCAAGTGATACACATGTGAGTTCTGGAAAATTCACCAAACATATATATATATATCTGGATGTTTCTAGTTTGTGGCTTGCGAGCATGACTGTGCGCGCGCGTGTGCATTTGCCTGAGGGTGTACACGAGCGGGTAGAGATGGAGGATGGTGTGTGTGTGTGTGTGAGAGAGAGAGAAAGAGAGAGAGAGAGAGAGAGAGAGAGGGAGAGAGAGAGAGCATGTTTATGTGTATCTGTGTGGGAGCATTCTTGTTGATGTTGTACAAGCATGTATGCATCTGTGTGTGAGGAGCATGTTTCGGTTTGTGTAGGTGTAGGCATATAGGTAAACAAACAGACAAGATGATAGGGACAACAATCAATACCTGAGGTGTGTCGGCAGGCGTTGTTTCCTCCTGGCCTCGAAAAAATAGTCAATGCCATCATCGGGGTCTCTCTCCATCAGCAAGGCCCACAGAACCACCCCCAGACAGTAGGCGTCCATCTGAAAGTAGTTCAGTCACAGTTATAGTTTACAGTTTTCACAGTATCACATTTGTATTATCATTACCAGTTCATAGACACATTACCGTTTTCATATTATCACACTGATATCATTCACATAACACTACATTTAACCTCACATATCTTACACATACAGAATCATCATTTCACATATGAAAGATGTGACATCATTACCATTGTCGAGTGCTTTATGAACTGAAGCAAGCCATCACGCACCGTCATATCTTGGGATATCCAGCAGAAAATATCGTGTCCAACTCGATGCTCATCTTGGAAATCCACGACTCTCCTCTCTCTCTCTCTCTCGGTGTGTGGTGTGTGTGTTTGTGTATGTATATGTTGTGTGTGTGTGTTGTGTGATATGCAGTCCTGGTGCGGGTGTCAGTCATTGAACGGGTGTCAGTCCTGGTGCAGGTGTCAGTCCTGGTGCGGGTGTCAGTCCTGGTGCGGGTGTCAGTCCTGGTGCGGGTGTCAGTCCTGGTGTGGGTGTCAGTCCAGGTGCAGGTGTCAGTCCTGGTGCGGGTGTCAGTCATTGAACGGGTGTCAGTCCTGGTGTGGGTGTCAGTCCTGGTGTGGGTGTCAGTCCTGGTGTGGGTGTCAGTCCTGGTGTGGGTGTCAGTCCTGGTGTGGGTGTCAGTCCTGGTGTGGGTGTCAGTCCTGGTGCGGGTGTCAGTCCTGGTGCGGGTGTCAGACCTGGGGCAGGTGTCAGACCTGGTGCGGGTGTCAGACCTGGTGCGGGTGTCAGTCCTGGTGTGGGTGTCAGTCCTGGTGCGGTTGTTGAACTCAGACATGGAAATGATCTAGGTAAATGTGTTCATGCCGAAACTGGAACAAGTGTTGACTGTCACGTGGGGTTCAGGCTTGTTAGTTCATGTCAGCGATACGAGAGAGAGAAAGAGAGATAGCTACAATCAGAGAAAGTGACAAAGAGGAAATGAGACAAAGATGCGGTGAGACAGAGGCATAGACAGAAACACAGAGAGACATAGAGAGACAGAAACAGAGAGACAGAGACATAGAGATAGAGAGAGCAAGAAGTCAGAGACTTTTCCGACAGAAGGTCACAAAACAGGAGACCAAGAGAGACATACTAGAAAGAAACAGAAAGCGAGACCGGAATGTGGTTGAAGAGGAAAAGAGAAAACAATTAAAGAAAAAAGCGGCCAAGATTGTTGGGGAATTGGGGGGGGGGGGTGAGAAGGTAAGTTGGAGAGGTGAGTCAGGAACTATTCTGTGTCGATTATGAAGAGGAATTAGGGAAATAGAGGTAGCCAGATGTGATGAGTGTTACAAGCAAAGCAATGGGGATACAGTGAGACAATCGTACCACTGTGGACAGATCTGAGAGTGAGAGAAGGGGTAGGGAATACTAAGAGAATGAGTAAGAAGGAGCTAGAGATGAGAAATTTGAAAGAAAGATAGAAGACAGAAAAACACACTGAGGTGTCAGAGAGGGTGGATAGAAACAGGGAGAGAAGGGGAGAGTGAGAAAAAGGAAAAAAAAGAGATGTTTTGAAAGAGAAAAAAGGGGGGGGGAGGTGGTAAACAATGAGGAGGGACGACAAAGGGTTAAAGAGTGAGAGACAAATGAGATGTTTTGAGATTAGAAGCCAAAGACTCAAAAAAACGAGAGACAAGACAGTCTAACACCCGATGTCTACACCGTAAATATCCCTGAAACTTAGAAGGTGTTAGGCACTAATTGGCACTCATAGATGGAACACAAAAATATCTTCTTTTTCTCGATTTTGATCTTGCTCCAAAAAAAAAGAGGAGTTTTGCATGCACATCGGGTTTACAGGTCTAGCTTTCTTGTATGCAGACTGTTGATTCTTCACCTCCCAGGCAGAAGCACACGATTTCGGAAGAAAACATCTATATTTAGTCGACTTTTCTGACAGGCTTGTGTATGAGGCAGTGGGTCTATCCCCCAGTATGGGACCCTAGAACCCACCCTGGAAAAACATATCGCTTTAATGAGTGCTAGTCGCCAGAACATTTGAAAAACCCCTGATATATAACAGCAGTTTTCAGCTGCTTAGAGCACTTTTGTTATTTTACAATGGCTCTAGGAGTTCCGGGGTTGTCAGATCTCAGACCATGGTGGCTTGGGGTCGACACCCCGCCTGGCTCAAGGAAAGTCGTAACTAACAAGTTTTACAAAAGTCGCAACTAACAAGTTGTACACAAGGTTTAGGAACTAAAAAGTTGTACAAAAGGTTTAGAACTAACAAGTTGTACAAAGGGTTGGAACTAACAAGTTGTACAAAATGTTGGAACTAACCAGTTGTTCAAAAGGTTGAAACTAACAAGTTGTACAAAAGGTTGAAACTAACAAGTAGTACAAAAGGTTGGAACTAACAAGTAGTACAAAAGGTTGGAACTAACAAGTTGTACAAAAGGTTGGAACTAACAAGTTGTACAAAAGGTTGAAACTAACAAGTTGTACAAAAGGTTGGAACTAACAAGTTGTACAAAAGGTTGGAACTAACAAGTTGTACAAAAGGTTGGAACTAACAAGTTGTACAAAAGGTTGGAACTAACAAGTTGTACAAAAGGTTGGAACTAACAAGTTGTACAAAAGGTTGGAACTAACAAGATGTACAAAAGGACTGGAATTGAGAATAAAGAAAGAAAAACTCTGTTATTTATGTTGTCGCTCACACAAGACACACAGAAACGAACGGAGAGGACAGATACAAAACAGAAGCATTACGAGACTGGAACCTAGACGTAACAAAAACAATATAAAACAACAACAACACTGACCTTATATGGATCCAGCTGCGTGTTGTCTGTTGCTCCTTTCCGTTCTGGTGGATAGTAACACGGTGTCCCACCGCACATTGACCTCCCGACTGTTTTCTGCTGGGGCTGGAGCTCTAGCGCGAGACCAAAGTCTCCCAGGACGGCATTGAAGTCTGCATCCAGGAAGACATTGTCCAGTTTGACGTCCATGTGGACCAAGTTGTTCTCGTGTAAGTAACGGAGGGCACAAGCCACTTGAATGACACACAGCTCCGACAAGTCCAGGCTCAGGTTGCCCACGTAGTTGTCCAGGGTGCCTCTGGGGTAGTAGTACATGCAGATGGCCAGGTAATCCTTGCACACACCTGCGACCAGGCACTTGGTGATGTAAGGGTGATCACAGGTTTGCATGAACTTCACCTCAGCCTCGAAGGTTTCCTGATTTGTGACATTACTGTCCTGATCCAGAAGAGTAAACTTCTTGACCACTCGCCGGACTTCGGGTTTCTCCAGAGGAATGGCCAGCACGATGTCCCCGCACATTCCGGAGTCAATGACCTCTTCAGCTTCCAGCTTGAACTTGGTGAAGAAATCTCCCTCGATCTGGTACACCTTGGCGTTGCCGAGAACTGATCGAGCCATGGCCGCACAGTGTCCGTCCAATCAACAACTTCACCAATGTTCAAATCACCGAGAAATTTGAACGATACAATAGCGA